ATAATGTTACTATAATTATTTGAAAGTTATATTAAAAATTGTGTAAGCGTATAGCTCACTTACAGTAGATTTTAAAAAAAATCGGGCTTTATTTGGAGTAGCGTTTCGAAACCGAAAAACTCTTTTTCTCGGGACTCTGGGAGCCTCGGGGCTTCCTTAGGGTGCTAGGGGATCACCTACACTTACGGGAGGGTTAAAACCCATAGAGAGAGAAAGTTTAGTGAGAAGAAATGAAGAAAGGTGTGAGATTTTCGGAATGGCTCGCATGCTATTTATACTAAGTATTTATGACACTAAAGTCGTGAATGTCATAAGACTCGCGTCGTGAATCTCATGATTCACTCCGTAGACTTGCAATTTGCGTTTCTAGCTTTGGATAATGGCCATGACACCTCACGTAATGACTGTCATAAAGCTCACGTCGTAAAATGGATCTTATCCTCTCGCAACTTCTGGTCTTCTAGATTCCGAATTATGACAGAATTTCGTGAGCGTCATAATTTTTCCGTCGTGAATTGGATCTTGTCCTCTCGCAACTTCTAGATTCCGAATTATGACAGAATGTCGTCAGCGTCATAATTCTCACGTCGTGAATTAGCTAGTTTAGGGTTTTTAAAAGCTAAATCGTCGGAATGCAATAACTTTTGCATACGAACTCTGTTTTTGACGTTCTTTATATCCACGCGTAAGTGGAGACGTAATCTACAACTTTTATTTAGACTCCTAAGGATAAAAGGTAGTTTATCATAAACTAAATTTTACGTTTCCCAGTGTCGTGTTGGTTTTGACGAAAAACTTCGACGAGCCATAACTTCTTCGTTATAACTCGGATTTCGGCGTTCTTTATATGTACGGAACCCTTGAGACATATTCTAAAACTTGGTTAAGATCATTTATTATAAATAATCTTTTTTCGAAAAGTCGTTTTCGATCCCTATTATCTTTAAATTGACTAGCCCGGTTCTACGGGCGTTACATACATGTTTCATTTTTAAGCTACTAATTCATGATATTCAACTCTAATGTGTGTATGCATATAATTTGATGCTGGTTTATGTGTATGTGTATAATCTTATGTAGGTCTCCAGGTATTATCTGTTGCCTCTGCACTCTTTCTCTAATTGGGATAAGACGACAATCACTGGAGCCCGTGTTATTTACGGAAAAACTCTTCAATAAATGATATTATTTAATGTGATTTGAAGTATTTCATAGTTAGCTTAGTCTAGAAGGCATATATGTAACTGGAAATTGAATCTCATATGCGTTTGTAAAATTTATGAAGGGATAAACAATTATTACATTTATGGTTTATTTCTCGAACATGAAAATCATTATTGTTTGTTACATGTTATAGTCTTTAATTGTAATTTTTTAATTAGTTTGGTGACTTTTTTTTGAAGTCCATGTGAGTGTTAAGAAAGTATCAATTTTACGGATTTTGTCTAATTTGATTATGTTGATGTTATTTTTTTTTCTTTTAAATTTAACGTTTTAGTTTAAGTTTATTAATATATTATGACATTTATGTTGGAGTGTTTGAGAAAATATCAGTGAACTTTACATTGATTTTTTCAATGTTATTAGTTAATTCAATTACTTTGAGTACTGTAGATTTTGAATTTATTTTTTATAAAAAATTTCAAATATAACATCAAAAGTTTTAAATTTTCTAAGTTTCAAATATTACATTAAAAGTTTAAAACTTCAAATATTAAATTTTTTAGGATATATAAATATTCGAACAAATTTTAATAAATTACTTATATCCAAAATAAGTATGTAACAATAAAAAATCAACATTTATTAATTTTGTTTGAAGATAAGCAATATTTAATTTGTTTAAAAAAAAATTCTAATACAATTAAAGATCGGTATCGATTTGTCGTTTGACATCTATTGTGACAAAAAAAAAGCAGCATAAATCATAATTATATTGAAAAAATAAAGATTTAATTGCATTTTTATCAATATTGTATATTTATATGAAATCCACAAAAAAAAAACATTATTTTTAATTCGGAACTAACACTTTTTTTTTAACAAAAAAACATTTCCATACTTCTATTTTTTATTAACTAAAAAGTGACATCTGAATCAAAAATAAACACCGAAAAGAAATAATTGTTGAAACAAATTATTCGTCGCCGGCCGCTTTGCGCCGGTAAACGACTACTATATATATATATATATATATATATATATATATATATATATATATATATATATATATATATATATATATATATATATATATACTATCTTATAAAAGAAATCCACTGTTTCTAAAAATAGATTGAATATAATAATATTATTTTTTTAAGACGTTCAAATCATTAAGCTAATAGTACAAGTAGTCATCAATACAATAATATTAAATTTTAACATGTGTTTTGAATCCTTATATTTCTCAACAAAATCTATCTCCTTCACTGAATTTCGGATAATTCAAAATTTGAAACTATCAGAAAATACATGTTGATTCAAATATCTCTCCTGCAGATAGCTCTTTCTTAACAGATTTTTATTTTATTCCTTACTTGTAATTGATTTAATCATTTTTAACTTTTTGTATTTTTATCTTATAAATATATTGGGTGAAGGCTTTATTATATCAGGTTTGTTCCTAAAAAGGTTTTTAATATGTTTCTTTAATGTGTTGGCTTTGCAGGTTCAAAGAACTCAACCAAGAGGGCCAGTTAGAGCATTGGATTATCATTAGTTTGTATATTTTGGCATCTTACTTTTGCAATAAAGAACTGTTAAACACAAGATTTGACATGATTAAGGTAGTTTGTATATTTTTCATCTTGTTTAGTCTATAAATGAAACCTTTTTCATCATTGGTCCTTATAATATCAAGTTTCATCACATGGACTTCCTGATTACGGTGATTATTGTCCTTAATATAAGGTTCTATATAGATTTTATTCAATATTTTTAGGTTTCGAGAACCTAAATCAATATGAATCCTTGAATTACATACCATCGTTGAAAATGTTTTAATTTGTAACCAAACTTGGTTTAAAATCACAATGAACAAGTTGATACCTGAGTATTTTGGCCTTCTCAAAGGCCTATTTATCGACTTTTGAATCACAACACCTGATATTCTAAAGGTTTATTTTTATAAACTATTATTTATATATTTTAGCATTTTACTTAGTAGGACATTAAATTAATAAAGGAATTAAGGAAAACGAAAAAAAAAGAGGACGATAAACAGTACAAATGGTTTGGGTATGCATAACTGGAAGTAATAACCATTTAGGGGTGTTTGGCAAAAAAACTTATTGCTTATTAGTTTATTAGCTTATAAGTTAATAAGTAAGTGTAGGGTAAGTTATGAAAAAATGACCTATTCGAGGTTCCCCACCGGAATAAGTTAATTTAATCCAAACACTTTTTTAACTTGTAGTGGAGCCTAATAAGTTGTTTTAAAAAAAGCTTAGCCAAACACCCCCTAAATATGGTATGGTAATATTTTTGAAAAATAGATGTCATTTAAGTTAATAAGTAAGCTTAGCCCGTCGCTTTGCGCGAATAGACGGCTATATATATATATATATATATATATATATATATATATATATATATATATATATATATATATATATATATATATATATATATATATATATATATATATATATATAGGTTCAGGTTCATTTGAGACCATTCTAATTTTGTGAGACCGTGAGACCAAATCTAAAAATAATTTAAAATGCAAAATAAATGGAAAAATCCAAAAATTCTTTTTTTAATATTATTTTCGGGACTTGAATTAACTAAAAAAAATATTAAAAAATAAAAAAAAATCCGTTTTTTTTTTGAAAAATACGTGAAATATTCTAAATAGAATATTATACTGACATATTGTAAAAAATAATTTTAAAATGCAAAATAAATGGAAAAATCTAAAAATTCTTTTTTTAAATATTATTTTCGGAACTTGAATTAACTAAAAAAAATATAAAAAATTCTATTTTTTTTTGAAAAATACGTGAAATATTCTAAATAGAATATTACACTGTACATATTCTAAAAATAATTTTAAAATGCAAAATAAATGGAAAAATCAAAAAATTCTTTTTTTAAATATTATTTTCGGAACATGAATTAATTAAAAAAATAAAAAAAATAAAAAAATGCGTCTCACGGTCTCACAAAATATAGGTGGTCTCAAATGAACCTAACCCTATATATATATATATATATATATATATATATATATATATATATTATATATATATATATATATATATATATATATATATATATATATATATATATTCAGGTTCATTTGAGACCATTCTAATTTTGTGAGACCGTGAGACCAAATCTAAAAATAATTTAAAATGCAAAATAAATGGAAAAATCCAAAAATTCTTTTTTTAATATTATTTTCGGGACTTGAATTAACTAAAAAAAATATTAAAAAATAAAAAAAATTCCGTTTTTTTTTTTTTGAAAAATACGTGAAATATTCTAAATAGAATATTATACTGACATATTGTAAAAAATAATTTTAAAATGCAAAATAAATGGAAAAATATAAAAATTCTTTTTTTAAATATTATTTTCGGAACTTGAATTAACTAAAAAAAATATAAAAAATATAAAAAATTCTATTTTTTTTTGAAAAATACGTGAAATATTCTAAATAGAATATTACACTGTACATATTCTAAAAATAATTTTAAAATGCAAAATAAATGGAAAAATCAAAAAATTCTTTTTTTAAATATTATTTTCGGAACATGAATTAATTAAAAAAATAAAAAAAATAAAAAAATACGTCTCACGGTCTCACAAAATATAGGTGGTCTCAAATGAACCTAACCCTATATATATATATATATATATATATATATATATATATAATATATATATATATATATATATATATATATATATATATATATATATATATATATATATATATATATATATATATATATCCAGCGCATAGCTGGAAGTTGTACAAATGAGACGAGAATAAAATAGTTTCCTGTTTATTATTATAACATGCATAAATTGTTATCATCCTTTTTATAATTACAAAAATAATAAACACATGTCATCATCGATGAATCCACGCCCACTACGAATGATATGCAGATTTTTCTTATTATTGGCCTGAGTTTTGAATTGAAGTAAAGTTGACAGCGTCAGCATGCAAAGAATCATCCCCAAATCGATTTTCTTTCTGTGTTTCAATTTGTTAACACTAATTTCCCCATGTCAATCTCGATTCCTGCTTCCTCGCTGTGATGACAGCAATGGCAATTACACATCAAACAGTACATACCAAACAAATCTCGATTCCGTCCTCTCATCCCTCGTCCCCGCCGCCGCTACCACCACCTACGGTTTCTTCAACCGATCCGCCGGTCAACCACCAGACACAGTCAACGCAATCGCCTTGTGCAGAGGCGATGCTGACCTAGATACCTGTCGCAGTTGCATAAATGATGCAAATGTAAGTGCGAGAGATCTTTGCCCTAACCGGAAAGGAGCAACGGTTTGGTACGACGATTGTATGTTGAGGTATTCCGGTGACACGATTTTGCAAAATCTGGATAGTACTAATGGCGGATTTATTTGGACTCCTGACAATATTCCGAATTCTAATGAGTTGTATCAGGCGATTAGACCCTTGATGGATAGGCTTAAATCCGAAGCTGCCGGAGGAGATTCAGTTCGGAAATTCTCCTCCGGTAGTACCTTCGGGCCGGGATTTACCACCATCTATGGGCTTATGCAGTGTACACCTGATTTACCAGAGGATCAATGCTATAGTTGCTTAGAAACCGCGACCAACACGATTCCTAATTGTTGTAATGCCAGTTTAAATGTTCGAATTCTTTATCCTAGTTGCAACCTTCGGTACGCGAATTCGCGTTTCTTTAACTCCACCGTGGTTTTTCCACCACCGCCGGTAGAAGCTCAGCCGCGGTCACCGCCACCATCGTCACCACCACCACCACCTCCAAGTATGCTGACATTTGCTGCTTTACTCGATTAAAAACGTAGACACAACATTTACCTACATATTTCATAATTTTATATTAAACTTTTTTATAGATTTATGATTCCTTTTGCAACCAAAAAGCGGTGGACTGGTTGCACCGATTCCAGTATTCCACTCATTACTTTTTCAGATTTTATCATTAATTGATCTTGTTATTAATTTTCCGGCGAGATTTTTCAGGCAAGAGTAGTAAGACGACTGTTATTGTTATTGCCATCGTTGCAACCGTTAGTTCTGTGATATTGGTCTCCGTTTTCGTTTGCATATTCATACGAAGAAAAAGGAAGCCGGAAGGACAGCTATCGGAGAATTCAGGTGGAATTTTTTTTTTTCTCTCAATTTCTGATTAATAATAAGATTAGGGTTTCCAATAAATTTATATCCATGACAATAATTTTAGTTCATGAGCATGGAGGTATCGACGAAATTACCACAGCCAAATCATTGATATATAGCTTTGGTGTGGTTAGAGCAGCAACAAATAACTTCTCACATGACAATAAGCTTGGACATGGTGGATTTGGAGTGGTTTACAAGGTTAACATGCACCCTATTATACTTGTTAGGTGCATAAATCTATTTGCAAGTTTTAAGGATCATTATAAAATCTTTGGGACTAAAATTCTCAGGGTAAGTTACCAAATGGAAAAGAAATAGCAGTGAAGAGGCTATCTAGTGATTCGGGCCAAGGTGAAGAAGAATTCATGAACGAGGTTTTATTACTTGCAAAGCTCCAACACCGAAATCTGGTTCAGCTTCTAGGGTTTAGCCTAGAAGGTTCCGAACGACTTTTAATGTATGAATTCGTACAAAATGCAAGTCTAGACAAATTCATATTTGGTATAACTCAACTCTTAAAATTTAACTAATTATGATATGTTTGTGTAAATTAATTTATTAACTAATAATATGATCGTATCAACTTTAGATTCAACTAAACGTGTGACTCTTGATTGGGAGGGACGATACAAAATAATAGGAGGTATTGCAAAGGGACTTTTGTATTTACATGAAGATTCGCGATTAAAGATAATTCATAGAGATCTGAAAGCTAGTAATGTTTTGTTGGATGCACAAATGATTCCCAAAATTGCGGATTTTGGTATGGCGAGGTTGTTCACACCTGAAGAAACACAAGCCAACACATGTCGAATTGTTGGAACCTAGTAAGTGTTAATACTTTTAAATCAAATTAGATTTAATATATATATATATATATATATATATATATATATATATATATATATATATATATATATATATATATATATTAATTAATTGTTATCGACATTAATATATAGTGGATACATGGCACCTGAATATGCATTACATGGTCAATTTTCGGTTAAATCGGATGTTTTTAGCTTTGGTGTACTGTTACTCGAGATTGTAACGGGTCATAAGAACCATAGTTTCCAAAACGGAGTGGTGATAGAAGATCTTCTTAGCCATGTAAGAGTTGATAAAGTATTATTTCAACACATATTATTTACACCATTTTTAGTACTAATTAAATAGAATGTTGTATATTTTTAGACATGGAAAAGTTGGAGAGATGGAAATGCTTCGAATTTGATTGATCCAACATTGAGAGATGTTTCTGATTCTATACGTGACATGATTAGATGCATTCATATCGGGCTATTATGCGTTCAAGAAAATGCTTGTGATAGGCCAACAATGGGTTCTGTGGTTCTCATGCTTAGTAGCTCTTCTCTATCTCTTCCAGTTCCTTCAGAGCCTGCCTTTTTCGTGAATACCATTGCTAATCTCCAAAATTAAGTCGCTAGCTAGCTCAAAGATTGATTCCAACCCTTTGAAAATTAAACTTGTGTTATGATATATATATATATATATATATATATATATATATATATATATATATATATATATATATATATATATATATATATATATATATATATATTAAGTAGGTGAATAATTATTTCATGTGTTATGATTTGTGACAGTATATTCTTTTGGACTAAAGGTATGTCTTTTTTCAATTATTTTGCATGTTTAATTAACTTGTGTATTTTTTATGTTTTCAATTCATGCATAAGAAAAAAAGATGATGAACAAATTCAAATAGAGTCCATATCATTTATAACGATGGTGGTTCACTTATTTTATGGTCATAAATTTTGGTGAGTAGTTATGACTCCGTTTGGTTTTATTTAGAGACCAAGGGGAAAAGGTCATCATGTATGGCATGACTGTATATAATATAATAATAATAATTAATATTATATTCAAAGGATGACAAAGATAAAACGTCAAACTCATGATAATAATAATTAATATTATATTCAAAGGATGACAAAGATAAAACGTCAAACTCATGATAATAATAATTAATATTATATTCAAAGGATGACAAAGATAAAACGTCAAACTCATGGTGTATGGCGTTAACAGAGGAGGCCGGTAGGGAGGAGAAACGAAAGAGAGCATTATATATATATTATTAATCTTTAAAAATTTGAGGAACAGTAACTTTTTTTTCTCTTTCATATTTACACACGGAAGTATTCTTTTTCGTCATATTGACACGGAAAGTTGTATTTGTCGTTGTTTCGCACATACCACTATACCTTTTCCCATCCTTATCTTCTCTTCCTCAAGGCCGGTTGCTGCCTCCACCGACTCCAATATTTTTGCCCTCAACTCTGTTTTCCCTCTTAATTTTCATTCTCACCTCCATCGACACACCGTCGCCGAATTCACCTCTTTCTTCTTATCTCAAATTGCTCTCAATTTCATCCCGAAAGCCTTCCATGTCTGTTGCGATTGCCTTCCTGTAGATTTGTGAGGCGGCGATGCATGAGGACTGCCTTTGAGGATCATAGTTGTTTCGAGTCGCTTAGTCGTAGAAAACAGTATACCGGAGGTGCTTCGTCGGCATTGAAGGCGACCGGTGTTGGCCAAGTCGTTCTGTGGAAGTGGTCGGCTAAAAAGGGCATCTACTCACTCATCGGTTGTGTCCATCACACTTTCATTTGGTTTAATTTCAGTATACATCGATTACAACATCACTGTTATATGTCCCACTAACCAGCTTTAGCAACAGCGGGGTTTAGGGCTTTTTAAGAGCAACCCGACTATGTACAAACTCTGTAATTTACTACATAAGTGTGCCAACCTTCGTCTACTCTTCTCTTCCAAGTCAAGGTTTTATGAAATGATAAAAACTAATTTTGTTTGTATATGGTGTAGTTCCATTAGTTTCAAGTCGTTGGTAGAGTCCTACCCACAGAGTCAGATGAGCATCCTAAGAAGATACACATCGATTAGTCTTTTTTTCTTCTCCGTCGTCCGCTGAATCGATGTGTTGTTCTGATTTGAAGCTCACAAACCATGGAACTGGACCATGGACGGAAAAAGGTCTAGCAACACTGCCGGAAAGCCTATCAGGTGCCTAGGTAAGTTGTTCTACTCATGCTTCAACAATCTAATTCCATTAACTTACATCGATAAAAAAAATTGTTTCAAATTTTGAAACTGCATGTTTTCTTGAGATATAAACAATTACCTAATTGATGAAGGCAACATCTGCCGTAATTTTTTATTTCTTTGAACAATCAATGGGGGATTGTGTTTTTGGCAGCTACGATTGCTAGGAAACCACAGGAACCGCTGGTGATTGAGGAAGTGATAGTGGCTGCACCAAAACCTCGCGAAGTTCGAATCAAAATCATATGCACTTCGCTTTACCATAGTGATATCAATTACCGGAAATTGGAGTTAGATTGTTGTTTGAGATCAAAATTTAAATCAATCGAGTGTTTTTGTTGATGTTAATTAACGATTGTTGTTTTCTCCTAAAGTGTCCTCATGCAATTTTACCCAAAATACTCGGTCATGAAGCAATTAGGCAAGAATCCATCAAAATTACTAAACTGTTCATGTTAAATCTGTTGAATTGTCATCCTAATTACATAAATTCATTCAGATTTTCTCCATTAAAGGGTTGTAGAGAGTATCGATGAAGGCATACATGAAGTTGTTAAAGGAGACACTGTGATCCCAATGTTTCTGCCAGATTGTGGTGAATGTGCAGATTTTTTGTCCAAAAAAAAGCCACTTGTGTTCAAAATATCCTTTCCATTGTACTCCATGGGTGGGTAGAGATGAAACAAGCAGATTTGTAACAACCGAAAAATCCAACTAATTTAAAATTTTCAGAAACAATCTGATTTCATTGAATTATTACAAAAGGTTTTCAATACATTATTTATCAGAATATTCCCAGGTCCTTTTCATGAAACATAAACACGAGGAACGGTACAATCACACCTTTCCCTTGCCACAGTCTCCTGAAGAACCTGAAAAACATTAATTGACAACTGTAAGCCCGGAAGCTTAGTGAGATACCCCCAAAATACCAACCACATATACGCCCTTCCAGGCTACGACCTTTCGGTCCAAAACATATTGCCTTCCGGCCCATAACATATTGCCTTCCAGCCCATAGCATATAAGCATACATAACATAACAGAACATAGAACAGCCATGCATATCGGGTCTACTGTGTGACTGGTCCGTCGTATCGGGCCTTCAGTCCACCGGATCCACCCTCCGAGTCTAGTCATGTCCTTCAAGTCTACAGTGTGGTTGGTCCGCTCGCACCGGGCCTTCAACCCACCTGGTCCACTCTCTGAGTCTACAGTATGACTGGTCCGCCCGCATCGGGCCTTCAGTCAGCCTGGTCCACTCTCCGAGCCTCGACACGTCTGGCCCACCCTCGTGGGGCCTACAGCCTATCCAGACCACTCGCTGGGCCTTCAGAACAACCGGTCCGCCCTGGGTATCTTGGCCTATAGCACAAAGCAGGACCCGCCTCAACCCATCTCCAGTCCAAACAACCATGTGCACATAACATACAATCATATAACAGTCATGGTCAACAAACCGATCAAGCATATCACATAGCATATCATTACCCTAACCAGGTTACTGACCTAACCGGTCACTAGCATAGCATCACTCTACATATCGGGAAACTGACCTTAACTAGGTCTCCAACATATACCACCTCAGCTACCAGGATGCAGACATATCAAGCAATAACATAATAACCATATCCGAATCTCAATCCAATAAAGGGCCGACCTTGGTGCCTTAGACCCTGTTGATATAGTGAGGATAACTCACCTCGAAACTGCCAGCTAAAAGGATAAGATCCCGCTGCTCCGAACTCCAACATGAACTCCTCCACTGAACACCAAAACACACAACTCAATATATATATATATATATATATATATATATATATATATATATATATATATATATATATATATATATATATATATATATTCTTAATTACCAAAATACCCCCGGAAGACAACTGGTCAACCTTGGATAAAGTCAAAGTCAACCCCTGACTGACTCTACTCGCCGAGTCAACCCGATGACTCGCCGAGTCCCTATGCTCAGAACTTCCCTCAATCCGCAACCTAACTCGCCGAGTCACCCCGAGACTCGCCGAGTCCAACAACTCTGAGTCCACTCGCACCCAACTCACCGAGTCATCCCTTGACTCACCGATTCTCGACTCAACCAGAAAATATTGGGACTCTTCGACAAGACTCGCCGAGTCTAAGGCTATCTTCAACCTACTCGCCGTTGTTCATCCAACTCGTCGAGTTCCAACTCATCTTCAAGTAACTCGTCGAGTCCACCCTTGTGACTCGCCGAGTACAACCGATCTGAATCCAAACAGAAGCATTCCAGGCCATGCAATTGATCCAAAACATAGATCTAGCCTCCTACAATCCATTCATCACGTAAAGTGGCAAACTTTACGTGAATCCAAAGAGATCTAGGCCTTATTCAATTTAGAGCTAGGGTTTGGGACATGATGGCTTCACTAAGCACTCAAACACAGGAACTTTAATGCAATCTAGGCCTTCAATATTCCAGATCTGAGGTAGCAACCTCAGATCTAACCTCCAAACTCCAAACATACCCACAAACCCCAAAATGATGAATCCATATGAGTGATAACCCAAGAACGAGATGTTACATGCAATGAAACTCGAATCCAAGCAAAACCCTTTGATCCAAGCCTCTTCTCCTTCAAGATTTCTTCAACAAACACCTCCCCAAGCTCCAAATGCACTCTAAGCTTCTTCAATCACGCTTTCTAGGGTTTCTGGACTTCAAGGGGGATCAAAGAGGCTGGGGAGAGGATATAATGTTCTTTAAATAGGGCTCATTCCCCGGATTTAGGGTTTTCTCCACTCAGCACCTACTCGCCGAGTCCATCTTTGGACTCGCCGAGTAGGCCACTTGACTCGCAGCCAAAGTCGCGGCCCTACTCGCCGAGTCCATCCATGGACTCGCCGAGTCGCCCTTCAAATAGTCCTTCAACTCTACTCTTGCTATTCCGGGATGTTACAATTCTCCCCCACTTAAATTAGGCTTCATCCTCGAAGCCTATGGCAACTCATCTCCAAAACTACTCCCACAACACGCCACCTGGCCTTAACCGGACCAGGTCCCTCAAAGCATACCCATCGAAACTCGAACTCACTTTCTCCTTCCTTGCGGTGTCCTGACCACCGTCTCAAACCGGGCACAGGCTTTACCCTCCGATAACCACATACAACAACTGAGTACCACTCATGATGCAACACTGCTCCAAATCACAACCATTACTCGACTCATGTGAGCTATAAATAACTATGCACCACCCGATTCCCGATCCGAATCCAACTCTATCCATACCATGCTGACAGAAAGGCACACTTTTCACAGCAACTCCCATGAGTTCTCT